CCTGCACCCCAGTTCTGTGTACATAAATAAATAAATCTTTAAAAAAAAAAAGTGTAGCTGCTTGATGTAAATTAAAAAAAAAAAAAACAGTTAAATGATATATTTGCTCTCTACTCCAGACTGGATGCAATTGATTTTAACTGACTAAATTATCTGATCTCTGCCAAGAATTTTATTTCATTAAGAAAATGATATTATAGAGCATCTGAGATCATAGAACAGACTAAACATAATGCCAAAGGAGTTCTGAGAATGCTCCACGGTGAAGGTTTGATTATTTGCAGATGGAATATGAAAAAAAGAAAAAGAATCAAATCCCAGGCATTAGCCGGACCAATCCTGGTGCCACCGCTGCCTACATCCTAGCACAAAGTCAAGAAAATAACTGATCTTAGCCACCACAGTTTTTTTTTTTTTTTTAAGAAACTAAATATTACTTTCTAGGAAGAAAAGTGATTAACTGCCACAATGCAAAAGAAAGGGAAAGGGGGAAATGTTGGTCCCACAATAGGCTCTGTCCTGTCAACTGTTTCTGCTGACATGATTTGGCTAGCAGTCAGGCATTCACCAAGGAACTAATTTAAATCAATCTCCGTTGGGAAAGCCAATTGTTTGGTATGTGCAACAATTGGTGTAGGATCAATCAGTGGACATGAGATCAATTAAAACCAGCTTAAGTTTGTGAAGAGGGACAATTCACACAACCTGAGTTAGATCTCTATTCATTTCAATACACTCACAATGCAATCCTTAAGCTTCCTTGCAAAGCAGAAAAGCTACTATCACCCTACACTGTCTAGCCAGCCCTTTAAGTAGTTCCACTTTTAATTAAAAACACAGTACACCCTTTGTTGGTACAGATAGTGTGGTCACTTTTAAGGACTGCAGTTACGTTAGCCAGAAACTTGGAATTTGGGAAGGGACATCTGTTAAAAAAGAAAAACATACATGTACACTTTGATAATTTTTTTTTACAACCTTATCAATGTACTTAAAAGCATTTGAATTTTATTCAGTAGTAGGGCTCTTTGGCAAAAGTTACTATCTTACACATTTGAACTGGGCTTCTAAATGCTAAGCCTTGAGGAGACCTGGGATAACTGCAAGAGATGTGTCTAAAGTGGTTTTGAAAGAAGTGAGTTCTGGCCTCAGGTACCTAAGACAGACCCAAATTTAGAGATGACATCACAGAGAAAGGTGAACAGCCATCCCCTCTGGCCACGGGATCTTGTGATGTTATTCTCCATCAAATGGCACCTTCACTTACATATTCCTCTACTGAAGGAATATGCCTGATTCAGCCCCAACCAGAAAACAGCAGGATAGGCATTGTGGATTAAAAAGACATCCCTGAATTGGTAAACCATCTAATAAGCAAACAAGAACATGGCAGAGGATTGTAGTTATGTCTATACTTAGCAAATTTTAAGCAGTTTAGTTTTTTCAACCAAGTAGACTGCAACCTCTGTGCATTAGGGGAGCAGTCTCCCCAAACACTTTGACCATAGTGTCATGGAAAAACTGCCTGTTTTACCAAATAATGCCTGGAAAGAAAACACTGGGGTGGAGGAGAGGAGGCAGTAGAGAGGAGGAGGAGAGAGATGGCAGGGCTTTCCCAATATTGACACTAATATCAGACATTCATAGCCTCTGGGAAGAAATGTTCCCTTCACTGTTATTTTTATGCAGAATAATTTTTGAAAGTTAGCATTTTCAAATGTGGAAAATGAGAGACAAAGGAGTATCCTTATAAATTGGCAGATCTATTGTGTCCACTGGAAAGCAGAAGCTATAGAAGTCTCACACCACCAGTCACCTCAGCTCTGAGCTCAGGACACCAACTTCCAGTCCTACAGGTAGCGGAGAATAGCTTAATGACCATCTAAAAACCCTATGGAAATTAGGGCATGAAAATCTCTCTCCAAAATTGATGTAGGACCATAAAAGATTCATAAAAACAGGTTGTAAACAAACCTTATTACAGATGGATTGAGAAGTTTACACCCCAGAAAAATCAGTATCTATTAACCTCATGACAAATCCTAATGATACAAAAATCCAAAAATGCAAGAGGAAAAGACGGAGCTCTAAGTTGCTGCTGTGTACCCTCCAAGTCTGGGAATGGGGAATGGGGGTTAGGGGTGGGGGAAGACTGGGAGAGGAGGAAATGGGAAAAAGAGCTCACATTCTGTTTAAACCTCCCAGAAGACTTAATTTTGCTTAGCAGTTGGATTAGCTGCAGCCACAGCAGAACTCCGGGACAGAAATTCACGCCCTAAATCTGCAGGATTCCAGTGCTCTGAAACCTTTCTGGAGGCTTCCACTCCCCTTCCCCACAGCGCACACAAATGATGGCAAAGGAGGGAGTGGTTAAAAAGCCACAAGTGAATTTCATTGAGAACAGAAATCCCTCACACAAATAGCTGCTTCTGAGGGAAGAAGGTGGAGAGGACAAAGTCAAACAGCTTCCCAAAACACCATTCCTAAAGGGAGGAATGCCCCCAGAAAACCTGTCCACAAATTGCTGCTTGATTCAGAAAGTTAGGTAAAGCATACTTATCTAGTCTTACGTTTCTGAAAGACATCAATGTTGTCCTTTTCCTAGAAATCCACCCCTCGGTACCTCTTCCTAGCTCATTCTGTCTCTCATACCCCTACTGCACTCTCTCATCCTTCACCCCCATCCCTCCACCCTCCCTCACACCTCGACCTTCCCCACCCTCATCCCCCCCACCTCTCCCTACTTTCATAATTTTCTCCCACTTGTTGTCCTCCTCCCCCTACCCACTCTGCATCTCTCTCCATCGCTCCCCCTCCCCTCTGTCTGTCTCCCCTCCTCT